GACAGAAAGGTAGATGTGGCAGTGGAAGGTGTCAAAGCAGTTTGGAGAGAAAAACAAAGTAAAGAACAAAAAAAGGAAACGATTAATCGATAATTAAATTAGTCATCAATTATTTTAATAATCGATTAATCGTTGCAGCTCTAATCACAGGTGTCTGGTGCTCAGGAGGCCTGGGCCTGAAGGCAGTCTAACATCATGTTTTGGACCATGGGAGGAAACCAGAACCCAGAGAAAACTCACACAAGCACAAGGAGAACATCTGAACCCAGGAACCTCTGAGGACACCATGCTGACCACCAAGCTTTTTTACCACTATGACTGTTAGCTGAAAGTTTCCTGACATTATACAAATGTCACAACACAGGCATGTATTTTCCTTAAATAAATGTAAGAATTACACAGATTTCTGTGGAATTTTTCCATTAACTAATACAAACTCTGAGCATTATACCAAACCTTTGAGTTTTAGAATACCAAGTTTACCTATTTTACTTGTAAAGTTATTTACGAACTCTTTCGTTGTAAATAACCTTTGTTACATACAGCTCTTAGAAACCCATAAGTTGTACGTGATTAAAGTATAACATGTGTCTGAGCAGGTTGGGAGGATTTTAGGCTGTCAAGATGTTCCTAAAGGTTAGCTGAGGTCCACGACGACGGGAAACCATGTCCGCCTGAGGAGTGCCACACATGGGAAAATACACCATGACAAGGCCACCGTGTTGACTTGAGCCGCATACTTTGAAAGAGAGCCCAAACAGTTTACAGTGCCATCTCCAAAGGCTTACGTCCTGACTTTAGCGTTAGCTTTAGCATAAAGTACGCTGGCTACAATCTTACCGTGACGACATGAACCTCCGGTGCTGAGTCCCGCTGAGCAGCCCGCAGGCTCGGCATTGTAACCGTGGTTTGTACGCCTCAAACCCACTGTTGGTGTCACTGATGCTCAATATCCTGTGAGCGTGCTTCCTGCTATATTTGCTAACACTACTCAGAAAGCCTCGTCGGAGCGCATAGGCCGCCATCGTTTCTCCTACCTCCACTGCTGCACGTTTTTACGCACACACGCGAGTGCTGCTGGTGCCTTCAGGGAATCTCCGTATAATAGGGACAGCACCAACTTCTGAAGTACTCTTACAGGTTTCTTCTTAAACCTCGCCGTACCTTACTGATTTATATAAATATCTCACGATAAAAAGTGTCATGTAATTGTTAATGTATTGCACTCACACGCCGGCTTCGGTACGACAGTTTCGTGAAAGGTTACGTAAAGTGAGGAGTTGCAGTTTCCGAGTTTACATTGAATGCACCAAAAGTGCTTAAAGCAGAGGCACAATTATTCTAAATAATAAATGCCTATTTTTTTGTACATAATGTATGAAAATTAAAATATTATGACTTTCAAGACTTTTTAACACAATTTAGTTATTTTAATATTATCTTGAGTTGGTCACGTGGGACATCGTGTCACAAGACGAACAACATGGCCGCCTACATTTCGGTGTTTGTTATGTTCAGCAGGTAGTGTGGATTAACTTGACGTAAGGGTGTTTTTGTTCAGTTATATCGCTTATAGTTAGTTACATAACTGTTCGGCTAAATCAAAAGTCATGGCGTCGTCGTTTGTTGTCGGGGATAAATTCAGGAATCGCGTGACAGAGTTGCTGGAGGACCAGGACGCCTCTCTGCCACAAGGACTGAAAGAGGAACTGAAAGGGTTTTTAGAGAATCCACAACCAACACTGTTGTCCTTCAGTACGGCAAGAAAACTTCAGAAACACATTGAGGACAAAGGTAAGCACAATCCACACAGTTCATAAATATCAGTGTATAAATATATTCACCTGGTCTAATTAAAAACGATGATCTCTTTTGGATTTAAAAGAAAAAACAAGCATTCAGACCAGGAGCCCTCAAACCACTTCATACTTGATACTATTTCACCTTATGTCACAGTAACATTATTTAGTAGTACAAATACTCAGAGTTGGGTAGTAACTAGTTACATTTAATCACTTACATATGATTTACTTGAGTAACTTTTTGAAAAACATGTACCTGTAGTAGTACTTTTAATATACTGTACTTTTTACCTTTATTTAAGTATTGCTACTCTTGAGGAAAATTTCTGGATTTTCTACCCACAGAGTAACTTCACCGAATGAAGCTTGTTTTCACAAAAAAAAAGAAACACACACACACACACACACACACACACACACACACACACACACACACACACACACACACACA